ATTAGTCTAATATGCAATGACTACATAACCTCTCCTGGATATATTTCTGGCACACGATGCTAAACATATTGTGGCCCTCAAACTAAGCAAGGTCTTGTTTTTGTTTCATGATTTCAGTAGGATAGCGAAGCCACAAATATACTATAACATATATTTGCTCAAATAAACATTGAAACTCGCATCGGATCGTCCCACACAACACTAGCATCCTAGATCTCAACATAAAAATTTTATTTGGGTAGATTCAATATTAGATTATTGTTTCAAATCTTTCTAATAATTTTTAGAATTTTAGTCATTTTTTCAAATATTTTTTTATTAGAATGCTTGTTTTCTAATATTCAACCCCCTACCCCACACTTAAATGATGCAATGTCCCCGTTGCTTGCTAAAACAATAAAAGAGCATATAAATTAAATAGGAAGAATTGGAAGAGACTCCCTTTAGGTAGTAGTGGCAAGCTCAAATTCAGAAAGTGTGTGGAAAGCTTGGATTTCTCGTAATATTGGCTGGAAACAGTACTTCTGAACCTTCTTCTTGTGAATGCAAATGTGTCGGATGAGAATAAATCAAAGAACCATTCTTCAAAAGTGTGTTGAATCGTTGTCACAACGTGGGAAAGCAACGTCACGACGTGATTGTTAACACGTTGTCGCGTGCATATTAAGCAAATAAATTTTTCACTGCTGGTTGCACTAAAAATATAGCACAGGGAAGCAGGGTCGAATCCTCAGGGACATAGTCTAACGATCAATTCCTTTTTGCATTAGGCACATTCTAGTCAAGAAAACAGAAATTATAAAAGGGGGATTTTGAATTAAACTAAAAACTAAAAATTGAACTGAAAATGAAAACTAAACGAAAATCAATAATAAAAACGATTTCAATACTGCTGCGACTTTCCCAATATTGCAATTAGTTCAGATCTGGTTATTCAGAATGTGTTCTATCTAAGCTGGTACTGAGAAAAACTAACAAGATCTAGTATAATCTCTTTTACCTAAATTATTTAACCAAAATAAGCTCTTTGAATTAACCCTAACTTTTTACTGTTCAATTAAACAAGTTCTTAATTCAATCAGAAAAGTAGCTTTATGATCTGCGTAAAATTCCCAGCAATACCTACTTCTCACAAGCTCGGAAGCGTAAAGATATCATTTTTTCAGTTTATATCAGAGTTAAATCACAACACGGAACAAGTATGATACTTGTTACATATTATCAGTTGACAAAAGCAATTATGGATTCTATTAACTAATTAACTGGAATGATAAAACCCTAGCTAGGTGATCAGACTAACAAGAATTAAAATCAATAATTGAAAACTAATTAATATAGATGATTAACTAATTAACTGGAATGTTAATTAGTTTTCAATTCTTTTTGTGTTTCTAACTATATTAACTAATTAACTGGAATGATAAAACCCTAGCTAGGTGATAAAACCCTGGAATGATAAAACCCTAGCTAGATAGAAACACAAAAAGAAAACCAGATATGAAAACTAATCACATGAAAAGTACTAGTTTATACAGAACTGAAAACTAAGGTTTAGCCAGACATGGCTAAAAACAAACTAAAACTAGTAAAAAGAAACATTTACTGATAAATTTAGATAAACTAAATGTATGAGATGATTCGCAGTCTTCAGATCTTCAGAAATCGCTGAAAGGTATCAGGAACCGTCAAACCACCGGATTTGATAATGAGGAACATATTTATATGCGAGACGGAAACTTCCGATGAAAGAAACCGAAAAATGCGATCGCATATTCTGAAAATACGATCGCATATTTTCTTATTTTTTCCAAATTTGCCCCTGAATGATGCATGATGCTATTTTCAACGTTTTCGGGACTTCGGGACAAAAATGTGATCGTATAAGTGAAAATGTGATCACATATTTTGGTTTTTTTCTTCAGATGACTTCCAAATGACTTATTTTGACCCTGCGAAACTTCGTGGCAAAAATGCAATCGGAGAAAAAAATATGATCACTTATACGATCTCATTTTTCGCCTATTTGATCGCATTTTTGGCCTTTTCCACCAACACAAAGTCTTCCGAAATTTTCTCTAGTTTTCATAACATTTTGAATCTTGTCAATCGGAGTCACGAGTCATGAGATATGGTCAAAATACTGACAGGGGATCAAAGATGCTAGCATCATCCTTTAGGCTTCAGATTGTAGCAATCTATCTTCATATGATCAATTCGATCGAATGTTTCTTGACCAAAACATCTTCCATAAGCATTCCTCAACATCCTTCTTCATTTCCAACTCCATTTAGGCTCCAAATATGCATACAGGTGTTCCCACAGTACTGGTCCACTCGAACTATCTGAAAATGACACAAAAATGCTAGCAGTACGGGAATTCTGATAAAAAGACATGAAATAACCATTATTTAAACAAATGACATGCAAATGTACAAAATATGATGCTAAATGATTATAAAAACGACCCAAAAAGATGCATAAAATGGCATCTATCAAATCTCCTCAAACTTGAACCTTACTTTCCCTCAAGTAAGATAAAGGATTAAACATTATAAACGAATGGAAAGATGTAGATGACCTAAAAAGAATTTAGAATAAAAACTTAAATAAATAAAAATATTTCACTCTTTTTTTGTTCACATGATCAGATTTCACGAGGAAGCTCCAATGAAATCACTACCTAGACAACAGTCTCAATACTTTTATTGCTGATTTCAAATTCATATTTAAGTCAAACCAAGATTGAGTAAAAAAAATTACGACGAAGTAAACTTGTGAAAACAGTATATTTTTAAAAATAATTTCACGAAAATTCGTTAATAAAAACTTAGCTTGACCAACTCCACCTTTTTTCCGAACTCGTCCAGTAAATACAGTAAGCTCCATTATGGACATAAAATCCAAGCTTATACCTATGATTCCATTGTCGAGGGATCAATCTCATTATACCACACATCTTCTTTGTCTTGATCAATTCTTCATATTTAACTTTGCTTGGTTCTGGATTTCGACTTAACTTAACTTGGATTTATCTTTGAATTTCTGATGTCTTCAAGTTGCTTGATGTACCATTTCTAACATATATATATATATATATATATATATATATATATACACACACAAGAAACTCTTTAACCTTTGTGTTAAATTCGGATGGAAATTGCCATCCGAAGAGGTTATGTACATGTTGGAGTTGGATGTTTTAACCCTTTTGGATGGAGAATACGAATTCTTACCCATTACTTTGACAATTAACTATTTTAGGCATAATTTTAGAATATTGCATGTCGCCTCATGTGAAAATGCTTTCATTTTAAAAAGTTTGCGATACTCACTTTGTGTTTCCTTTTAAATATCAACCCCTCATCTTCTGATTGCATGACTATTCGACTTTTGGTTGTAGATGCAACTGAAACTATTAACCTTCGCCTGCAAATCCTTCCATTTAGAGTTCACTTGATACCTAGTACGATCCGAACCCAGTACTCGGGAATGGAATGTGGATATTGTGGGAACTGACTAAAACTGAATTGATCTTAAGAGAACCGAAATTGGTCATACGAATGTTGCATCGAAAGTTGACTATATTGTTGTTGATAATGTGGGTATATAATTTGTGATTTAAGTTTTGAGGGTGGAAAATGGGAAATCTAGCGAACCGCATTTTCTTTCGTTTCGACAGTTTCGTCTTTTGCTTGAACTCGTTTTTTTGGATTTGTCACGGCTAGAACTCATTTGAATTTTAATATAGAATGGTGGAATGGAATAGAAAGTTAGAATGGAATTGAAGAGAATGTATGGTTTTTAGAGTGGTTGAGGTGATTCATAAAGATGGTAAAATAGAAAATAATAAATAAACATATTTTCAGAAAATTTGACAATTGACCAACGGTAAAGAAAGGAGATAGAGTATGGCTCATCGTTTCAAGCAAGTTGTCTAACCCACACAAATGTGGTACCATCTTATAAGGCTCACAATTGAGAGTTATATTATGAAGCACTCAAATCAACTTAAATAGGAATTTATTTTATAGCTTTTTATTATTTGATTGACGATTTGTCACAACTTTTTATCATTGGAGCGTATAGTTTTTTGTGTATTTATATTGAACAACTCAATATATATTGAATGATCAATATACTATAATGCTTCAAACATCTAACTTCTTTGTCTTTTATCATATTTTATTTTTATCCCTTAATTATATTTTAGTTTTAAACATTTTCCATTTCTTTAGCTAACTAATTATTTCTATCATTGTTTTTTATTTATTTATGAAACAATATATATTAATCTATAGTGATAATCTTTATTTAAATTATTTCGCATTAAAATATACCGTGTCTAAAAAACAACTAAGTAAATAAGAAGGTTTTATGGAAGCTTTTAGATAGATAAAAATCAATAAGTTAAATTCATAAAAAAAGAAATTAAATAAAAAACTTAACCATTGAAATAATTTAATTTTAATAGTTTGTCAAAATTGATAAAAAATAATAATAATAATAATAATAATAATAATAATAATAATAATAATAATAAGGTGGCCATATTAGAGTTGCTCTAAGTCTTGGTAAATATGCTTTAAAAATAAAAGTTGATTTCCATGGTTCTCTCGATTAGTAATGACATTTGTTTACTTTAAAATTGCAATGAATTAGTTATTCTCAACAAAACATATCTAATATTATTTTTACGATATAATTCTACTCATGATTGAACTTTGAACTCAGCTCACATTGGTTTATCTTCTAACAAGTCGAACCCAAATACTTCCTAAAATAGCTCAACTCGCATACACCCCTTAGATTATCATATACCAAAGACAATTGTTATTTTACAATTGCATGGTAAATGTGATGAATCAAATTACTTTCCTTACTTTAATATTCTGATCCTAGAAAAAAGTAAAATGGAAAAGCTATAGTCTATAAGCTTAAAGGAAAAGGGGAAACTTCATAAGTAGTACATTTAAACTAATCCAAAACAAATTTTACTTTAACAAGCCACTATAAACACCCCAAATGAATAAAAAACAATTTAAAAAATGTATCAAAATAGAGGTAACACACAATAACAAATAACAAAAAAGGTGGAAGAGCTAAATTGACTCAAGTAGATTTTTTATCATTGTATCCTTTGAGGTTAAGATTGAACCATCTTTTCTTTGAAGACTTGTCCTTTCCATCTTCTTCACTCGGACTACTCTCTTCACGGCTATTATTTCCATTTCCAACTTTACCCCCAACAACCACCGGCCTGCCAGCTGTAAATGATGACTGGATATTGTCTCGTTGTTTCAAAAGCTCCTCCACCTGTATTGTACAAGATCATTATCTAGTGATTTGACTCTTTTGCCCCAATTTGCTACTCAGAACATAACATGACATGACAAGACAAGACAGTTTATACTGTGTTTGACATGCAAAAGACGTAAATGCCCTCCACAGACTGATATGGCGTACTTACATTCTGCTTTTCCTGGTTGTATCGATTTGACACTTCTTGGTATTGTGCCAAAGCCTACACAGAAAATAAATATTAAAAAAATAAATAAATAAATATACCAATTTTGACAAAAGAAAATATAGTATAAAATATTTTTATATAAAAAAGAATTAATTAAACCTTTCTATATTCGGTCTCGAATTGTCGCAACTCGGTTCTCTTTCTTAAAATTTGTTGCTCAATGTCCTTGAGCTTATGAGTTGAGCTTTCATATGTTGCTGAACAAAGAGCTTCTATTGTGTAGGATGCAGTTTTAAAAAAATTATCACCTATAAAAGAATATGTATATATTGATTATTTAAAACTACCAAATTAATTAAAAAAGAAAAAGAAGAATGTACAAGGTTCAAACCATAAACAGCAAATATGTGGGTCCCGGCTTTTAGTTCTGAAACTTCACATGGTTGAAGACCTTCTAATCTTTTAAAGAAAGCAGCTTCTGGATCCTTAGCCATTGCTAACTGTTCAATGTTCATCATAATCACAAGCCATTTTTAATTATTATCACCAAATTATTAAATAAGTTTTATTAATTCTTGAAATGATGCCAAATTATTTGATGATGAGAAGTTGCATTGCATACCGCATTAACACTTGAATCCATTCTATATACTTGAAAATGCAAGAAATACATCCCTGCTGATGTCACCTTCCCTGTCTTTTCACTCTCTTCCTGCACCATAACAACCCACAAATTACTAGAGAAATTACCATTTTGCCCTTTCATGTCCCTCTTTCCTAAATTGTAACAATATTTTGTTTTTCTTTTAAACAATTTTGTAAAGAATTAAGGGTTAATGACATATATTAGCAACAAACTATCTGAATTTTACTCATTCGGAAAATTTATGAAATAATAAAAGTAATAAAATTTAAAACTAATATATTTTTAGCAAAATATTGATTAAAAAATATTATCCAAACCCTTCGAAAGAAAAAAAAAAGTGTTACCTGTAATGCAAGATTATAGCCCCCACCATTATCTTGCTCAAAATAAAGTAGCTGCAATATTAGAACCACATAAAGATCAGCAAAAGGGAGAGAATTGTGCTGGATATGAACAGAAGGGTAAAATGGTCATTTACTCAGACTCAGAGAGTTCATTCATTCCAAAAAAGAAACAGTCTTTATACATACAACATCTTATCCAAAAAGACATCATAAGCCATTGAGAAGGGTAAAATGGTCATTTCCTTTTTGGCTTAATAAAGATATACGAAGTACCTTAAATTTGCTTTGAGTGGCTGAAGTAACTCTAACTATAATCCCAGCTTGAGCTTGTTCTTCAGTTACATTAACACCAAAAAAATGAGCTGATTGTTTCTCTACCTGTAGTCCAAAACTCAATTAAGTCAATTAAGTAGCTAAAAGATAATGTTAAAAAATCTTGAAAATCTTGAAAATAGAGTTATGTGTACCTTTCCACTAACTGATGATCCTAATGGAAGGGGTTTGACTGTAACATTTCCACTCAAAGCATCTTCAAGAACATTGGCAGAAATAGTTGTCTTAATAGGAACTCCAAGCTTACTTTAATAGGAAAAAGTGAATGGAAGAGAATAACTATAAAGGTCTCTCAAAATGAATCTTTAACATACAAAAATTACAACTAGAATTCACCTGAATAATGCTGCAAACATTGTATTCACTGTTCCAAGGTTAGATAAGTCAATTTCCATGTCTGTTCCATCAGCATCAATAGCCTGTTTGATTCATAACAGATGTTTTTTACTTTTTAGCTCATTAGCTGATAAACAGAAGTTGCTAAATAAAATGTTGAAAAGAAGAAAATGTTCACCTCAAATCCTGCATTATCATATTGTCTTCTTTTCTCTGGATCGGATAGAATGTTGTAAGAATATGCAACTTCTTTGAATAGTTCTGAGGCTTCAGGATTACTAGCATTCTTGTCAGGGTGATACCTGTAAATAACTTATGTTGTAAATCTATAGAAGTAACTTAATAGCAATATAGCATAATCGAACTCCTTAAATCGTACCTAATACAGTGAATTACTTGAAAATTGCTATGTGAATCAAACCGAATTAACATCTTAATTACCAAGAAAAGAAATGATGAACAATGCATCAATGGAGCACCAGTCGATGCTAATTCATAACAATAATCGGTTTCACAGTATTGTGAAATACTTATTACATAGATGACTCACGAATAAGCGCAACTGTAAGGTCGCCGTTGATAAATGATAATGAACTGAAAGAGCAACCATGAACATAATCATGTAACCCTAAATTTGATGGATACAAATCGATTCAAATACCAGCAGTCAATATTAAAGACAATAGAACAATTTAAAGCACTTTACAGATATATATCAGAAAGAAAGAAAAGAAACTGAAACTAACTTGAGAGCGAGCTTTCTGTAAGCAGATTTAATCTCTTGATCGGAAGAATCTCTTGAAACATTCAAAACCTCATACGGGTCTCTACGATTAGCAGCTGCAGAAGGAGCGACGGAAGAAGAGGTTTCCTCCTCCATCTTTGAACCTCCCATCCCCTTTCTTCTTTTTCTATCTATCTCCTGCCTTTTCAGAAATTGCAATTACTTCCAACCTCAAAAGTTCAAATTTCCCAAAATCGCTATCCACAACTTCTCAAAGATCGAAAAATTATTGAACTCTATAAACCCTGGTGTTATCTGAAAGATATCGACTGTGCACAAACTTCAGAGCATCGGATCGCTTTCTTTTTTGATCCAGAGAAATGATAATTGATCGAATATAGTCAAAAGGAAGAATTGAAAAAGACCAAGATCCAAAACAAAATTTGTATGCAAATGGACAAGGTGAGCACAGGGGTTTTCTGAAAATATAGCAGAGAGATGAATTGGTCTAAATTTAAAAAGATTTCACCTCCCTTTGCTTTGGTTCAGCGATGAATGATGATGATAAAGCATCGGCCCATAAATTGTACTCTCCATATTTTTATGACCTAAAATATTTATCTTATGTAAATGTAAATATGAGTTATTATAAAAAAGTTACAATAATGGGTTATATATATATATATATATATATATATATATATATATATATATATATATATATATATATATATATATATATATATATATATGATACCATTTGCTAACTAGTAGTTTCAGATATTTTTTGATGATAAAAATCATACATTAATTTATAAAACTGTTTTCTATCTTTGCTTCTAAACTCATGATTATGGATTAGAACTTGTAAAGCTTTTAATTGATTACAATAATAATGACGATTAGCTTGTATCTTTGAATCAGACATAATATTTCAAGCATGAATTTGATTATTATTAAATGCAAGTATTATTTTAACAAAAATTTCAAATCTTGTAGAATTAATAGTTAGAATAACTCGAAAAGAGACTGTCATAGCGATAACAGAGTTAAGACAATAATTGAATAAAATTCTTTATATATTACCTTCTTTTAAATTACAATCAGAGCATCCGTCTGGAGCAAGTATGATTTGAAAATCTAAAGATTTTGAACATCTAGAAGTAGATAGGAGAACTCTTTTCTTAGACATGAACTAAACATTTGACAGAAGTTTTATAAGAGAGATTTTTAGAGAACTTTTGGATGGTCTTCATTAAAACATGTCCCTTCAATATATAGGAGTCTTGGAGTCTTGAAACATCTTGAGACGGGAAACCGAAGGATTACCGGATCATCTTGAGAATTATTGAATCAACTTGCATTTGTCAGAGTGTAGATGTGGCAGACAAAACTTTAAAGCTTTTGACAAATTGGCATCATATTTTGTCATTTTTTGATAATGGAAATCTTCTTTGGCGATAATGGAGCATCTTCTTTCATCTTTATAAAAGTTGTTTGTTTTCATGCAATAATTTAGCATCATCTCACTGCAGAAGACATGATAATATTTTTGATAATTGATGTACTCACACAGTGTATAATTGATAATAGTTGAACACACACAGTGTATAATTGATAATAGTTGAACAATTTGATAACACACGTACTACCCCCCTTTGAATAACAAACACATATAAAAGAATACCTTACATTGAAGGTATAACACCAAAATTAAAAACTTAATTAATCTGCAAATGGATCATCAAAAGGATCTTGAGCATCTTGAAAATTATTTTTGACAGATGTGGGAGAATGTTCTGAATTAGTTGGAGAATTGCGAATTTCTTGAAGTAATTGTTGTAGATCTTCAGGGGAAGAGTTTGCAGCGGCACGAATTTTGCTAATAAGATTAGCATCTGGAGAAGATAGACTCTTGATAAGATTTGCTTCAATTTCTGGCTTTTGATTATACATTGATTGATAATGATTGAAAACAGCTTGCTCGTTTGCTTGAGAAATTGTGACTTTATCCCACCATTTTAGACGAAATTGTCTATTGAGCCAAGGGGGATTGAAGTCTGTTGCTTCTTGATAAGAGAATGTCCAGGACATAATCCATGGAACTTTAAATAACATGGTGAATTGTAACAAATATTCAAATTCTGGGATTTGTTGAATAAATAGCTCTTTGAATTTAGAAAAGCCTTTGAGAATTTCAGTGGGTAAACAACTAGGAACAAGTCCCATATAGCGATACCAATTGACAAACCATCTGGGATATTCACAGGTAAAATTTTTATCAAAGAAAATGAACCATGAATGAGAATAGTTTCGAAGAAAAAATGCTTTAGTCCAAGCTTCTTGGTAATCATAATATGAATATCTTGGATAAGCAGGAAATTGATAAAGGGGTTTTTCGAAAGAAAGATTGGATGACCAATTTTCTGGAGAAATGATTTTAAGAATTCGGGCTTTGCTAAAATCAATAGATCCTTCTTTATTATTAGAACGGTGATCAATCTGAACAGATCCAGATTCTTGTAGAATGGTTTGATAATATTCTCGAGATTTGTAAGAGTTTTCATGAAAGGTTTTTCCTCGGCCAAAGAGGTGTTCAGTAAGAACATGAAAACCTTGATTGAGCTTAAGAATTTGAGAATCTTCAAGTATTTGGATTTTCAAGAGATTTGAATTGAGAACATAAGGGGCTTTATTTGTAGGTTTAGAAGTTGTTGAAAGTTGTGTTTCAGAAGGAATAGGTTTTGAAAAAGGGCTAATTGATTGAACTGGAGAAATGTTTGGATTGACTAATTTTGATTGAAGCATATTTGAATAAAGTTGAGAATTTTTTGCAATTGGAGTTAATGGAGAAAAACGATTCTGACTTGAGAAAGGAACAAGCTTTTGATTAATTGGTTTCTTGTCTTCAATCTTAGAGGAAGACGATGAACTCATTTTCCCTGCAAAAATTCACGAGAAAGAAAATCTGGTAATGAATTGCTTTCTCCTTTTATAAATTCAATATCAAAATCAAAATTGCCCAACAATGCTTGCCATCTAGCAAAGATTTGTTTAGAAATTATATTTTTAACATCTTTTTCTAAAATTGATTTTGCAGATTGACAATCAATTCTTAATAAAAAAGTTTTCATAAATAAATCTTCTTCAAATTTAGTAATACATAAAACAATACTTAAAATCTCCTTTTTAACAGTTGAATAATTCTTTTGAGTATTATTCCAAGCACCTGAATAAAAACGAACCAATTGTTCTTCAGAAGAATTTGATAATTTTTGTTTTAAAATACCTCCAAATCCAATATCACTAGCATCAGTTTCGACTATGATATTAGCATAAGGATGTGGTAAATTTAAACAAGGTAAAGAAGGAATTTTTTGTTTTATAAGTTTAACAATATTAGTATGTTCTTGAGTCCAAGGTTGTGGATTATTTTTTAATCTATTATAAAGAGGTTTGCAAAGAGTTCCTAAATCTTTGAAAAAATCATGAATATAATTTAGACATCCTAGAAATCGTTGAAGTTGTTTTTTATCTATAATTTCGTCAGGAAATTTATTAGAAAATTCTAAACTTCTTATAATAGGTTTAATAGTATTATTAACAATGTTATGTCCTAAAAATCTAATTTCATTTTGAAATAAATGCATTTTCTTAGCTGAAACAGCTAAGCCATTTTTATAAATTAAATCATAAAACTGATTTAAATGTTTGAAATGTTGATCAATAGATTTTGAAAAAATAAGAACATCATCAATATAAACAATTGAAAAACTGTTTATAGGAATGATAATATCATTCATAATGTTTTGAAATTCAGAAGGAGCATTTTTTAAACCAAAGGGCATAACGTTCCACTCATAATGTCCAAAAGGAACATTAAAACCTGTTTTGTATTTATCTTCTTCTTGAATTTGAATTTGCCAAAAACCAGATTTCATATCAAATTTTGAAAATATTTTTGAATCATAAAGTTTTTTCAATAAATCTCTTTTATTAGGAATAGGATATCTAATCCAATCTAAAACTTTATTTAAAGGTTTATAATTGATAACTAATCTTGGTGATCCTCTTTCTAATTCAGCAGCATTCATAACATAGAAAGCTGAACAAGACCAAGGAGATTTAGAAGGTCTAATTAATTTTTTGTCTAATAAATCTTGAATTTCTTTTTTACAATGGGCTTCTAATTCATTATTCATATGAATAGCTCTTGATTTTGAAGGAATATCCTTTTCATTGAAAGTTTTAATATAAGGTAATTTGACAATATGTTGTTTTCTGTTCCAAAAGGCGTTTGGAATATTTGAGCAAACATTATTTTCAAACTTTTGTTTTAAAGCTATAATTTTGTCTTGAATATACTTATCTTGTAATTGATTATGTATACGAAAATCATTAATTTCATTGATAAGGTAATTTGCTTGTTTTGTTTTATAATTAAGAATATTAATAGTTGAATAAGACGGAGGTTCACAAAATTTAAACATAATTTCTTTTCCAAAAACTTTAGTAATAATTCCATCATCTTGAACCATAAAAGGATATAATTTAGTAATAAAAGGTGTTCCTAAAATTAAAGGAGAAGTAAGATTTTTTACTAAAATTAAATGAGTTTTATAACAATAATCTTGATTGTTGCAAATATGAACATCGGAAATTTTATAATTTATTTTTAAACTGGTTCCTTCAGCTCCAGTAAGCCTAGAAGAAGTTTTTTCATAAAATTGAGTGGGAAATAAACCTTCTTGTATACAGTTCATATCAGCACCACTATCAATTAGAGCAGTAATATCCATTTTAAAATTATTTTTTACTAGAGTTATTTGAGTATTCCATTTTTGAGAAATTTGATCATTTATAATTCTTTCGATAACCTTTTCATCTTTATTATCATTATTTTGTGAATTAATAATATTTTTTCCCTTTTCAAGAGTTATAATTTTGCCTTTAATTTCTTTTATGTCTTGTTTAACTAATTTTAATTCTTCTTGAAGTTCTTGTATGGAAATGGGTTTTGTTTCAGAAAATCTTTCATATATGTCTTTTAAATTAAAAATTTTTGTATTATTTGAAATAGAATTTTCATTCTTATTAAGCATTTGTTTTATCAACAGTTCTTGGATATTTTTATCTTTAATTGAATCCAAATTTTTTAAAAGATCTTTGTCATTGTTTGTAAGGACATTAATTGAATAATTACAATTACATTTTCCAACACATTTGCATGTATCAGAATCTTCCGAACTTGAAGTATTTTGTTCTAAGATGTTTAAATCATTTTCTTGAAAATCGGTAAAACTAGAATCAGAATCGGAATCAGAATTTAACATAATTTTTCTAATTTGTTCTTTTAATTCTTCTGAAATATTTAATTCATTAATTTTTGTTTTTGCATAACAATTATTAGCATTATGACCATTACGACCACATTTATGGCAAATAATAATGTCTTTTGATTTCTTTTAGAATTTTTATTAGATCGTTTATAAGGGTTTTTTGATGTTAAAAATTTATTTTTCTTATAATTCTTA